AGTTTTTCTTTGAGTAGCACTTGACCTGTTCAGGATATGTAACATCGGAATTCTCTAGTTCGACCATCACGTCAATATTGTGAGTTTCTGACCAAACTATGCTGGAATTGCAAAAGGTCATGACCTGAATTAGAATTCTGACCAATCATCAAGCTTGCGGCAATGCTTTGATTACATGCGAAAGGACGTTTGCTGCGCGTAGTTTAAAGTTATTTTTGAATACAGTTTCATTCGACGACTAAATACTTGAAGTTGGCAATAAAATTTGGGGTTTTAAAATAGAGTTACCTTATTCTTCCTTCTACCGAAATATAGTTTCAATAGTCAAAGCTTTCCGAATTTGCTGTTGTTTTTCGCATTGCTGTTATGATAATCGAATTCCATAACAAGCGAAGAAAACAACAAGACTGGTGTGGCTATTTTCATTGCATTGGAATTTGTTTTTTGTTTTTTAACTGGATGTTTTTCAAAGAAGTAAATAGAGAAGAAAGCATCGAATAAACAACCAAAAAATCCAAATTGATAATTTCCACATCTTGGGACTCGAACCTAGGGCTGTTTGTTTGCAAGAGGGCTGTTATTCCGAAAGTTGAAATGCTTATGACGGCATGGTACCCCTTTCTTTTTTCTGATTGGTTGAAGAGAGCCGACCAATCAGAATAGAGGGTTGTCCTTGTCTCACGAGTTTATAGGAGGAAGACGCCTCGGATAAACTGGACGAATAAAATACGCTTGACTAGTCTCTCTATCAATGATAATTGAATCTGATGGACCAGACTCAGGAAATTCAGAATATGGCGGCAGGTCGTCGTTGTTGCCTGCAATCCCAGAGGTCTGCGGTCTTGCGGCATTSCACACAGGAGGCCAGTTTGGGTTATATGGGTAATTGTCATCCAAAATAGGTGCTGTCGGGATTGCTTGAGGGCTTTCTGTGTTTATTGCCTGTACGACATTCGGCTGGTCTCCATGTGTTCTCGCTGGAATCCTCTGCTCGTTGCCCTTAGAAACATTGACAACAATAAACAACAGATCCTTAATGAGTTGGCGAAATGTACCATGGGATGGACGAAAGTACAAGCGGAGCCATGTCGTCGCTTTTTATGTGTTCTCTGGTGATTCAGGCTTAATTTTSGGAACAAAATTACTTATYTCCCAGAGTGAGGTGGTATGATACCAAAACATGAATTCCRTTGATGTTAAGCTTAGTGTAACACTCACTAGTTCGTGTCGTTTTAATCAATAGTCTATTAATRAAATGAACCTCAAAAAACCTTGGCATTGTTGCATTGTCCAGCAATATMAAGGATTTTTATCAAGGCTAAAATAGCCGATTTGTAGTATGGTGTCATTTACTACAATTACCAGAATGCTTTGCCAACTTTCTTTTGTAATGCAATTAGTGCCAATTGTTTTATTAATCTCCAAGGGGATTAAAAATCTGAATAACAATGAAAATGCGCAAGGCTCTCTGGTAGTTGTAGTAARGTTACGTCATAATGCAAAYCSCCTATTATCAACCTTTTGTTTCTTTACTTATTTTATGTATATGCCAACTACATAACAATTTTAGGTTCATTGCATAGATTGAGATATTGACAATAAATATCCTTAATAGTTTGGATTGTGTGCCAATTATAGTTTAAGAGCTAGACATGTAAAAATGTAMAAAATAAGTAAAATGCCTTAAAATCATGTATTTTGGGTGTGGCTTGGTTACCATAGCAACAGTGACTGCTAAAAGTGGTATCAAATGACATAATGAAATAATAAAATGAAAATATTTARAAATAATCTCCTTAAAAATATTGTTATTTTGGTTATCATACCACCTTAAACTATTCTAGTTTAATATTCTTTCAAGGTATTCTCGACGACCTTATAAGTTTTCKGAGACATGACCCCTTTTGATACATTCATCCATGATGCATTTCGAGCAAACACATGACGTCATTTGAGGAAAAGAATATACTAATAAGGATAATGTTGTACTAACCTGTTCTAACCCTGGGCCCACTCTTTGACGGCTTTGCTCATGTGTATCACAACAAATCCAGGAACAACAACATACCATAMACCAGAGGCAAAGTAAAACGATGATTGCACCCAGAGAGAGAATACAGCCTTCAAGAACTATCTTCACAAAACAGTTTGTTGTAATTTTCTTGTTCAGTAGATGACAGAGATCGTTATTTATGTTGTACAAGCTTTTCAAGAAGTAAAACGTGAAGTCGAACAGAAGATAGCCAAGAAATCCTACAAGTGCAATTGAAAACTGCGAGAAGGTGCAAGTCTACGGTAAACGAAAACAAATAGATTAATCCTAAAAGATTACTTTCTCTTTGGATTAAAAATATTTCTATAGCCACGTCTGCTCTTCATATTCACACATATACATTGGACGTTCAACGGTCGTCTCGCTTCGATGTATAGGCACGGCTACCTGGTTTCAAGATTGCGACTTCTAGTACTTTATTCAATTTTATGCGTCACATTATATACATTTTACCTTACAGGTACTTGGTGAAGTTTTTCTACTTGTACATATACCAACACTCGCTGTAATCTCGGCCTGAAAATATGAAAAAAAAAAGAGTTAATTAAGAACTTGTTCATTGATATGAACGAATGATATCCACAAAGTTGAACTCTAGCTTTTTGATCATTTAAACGTGACTTTATTCTATTCTCACAGAAAAGAATAGAACTGTTTGACCTAGCTTCCTCCGCAGACGTTTCCGCTCTTACTGTCTTTGGGCTCCCTGTGTTTCTGATATGACCGAAGGAGACTGTGAATGCCTTGGAAACATATTTCCGAGAAGTTTTGTGAGATGACTCATGAGGTTTTAAATTATAATGTATTCAAAACACATTCTACACCGTCTGAAAAATAAACACTGGCATATTTGTACGTATGAGTATTRATATTGTTAGGTTTATATGAGAAAGGCCCCCAAAAAGACACTGAAAATTCAAGGGGGTTAAGATAACGACCTTAATTTTTGCTTAAATGTGGCTCTATAATCTATAAAAAACCTTCTTTACTGATGTTTGGTGTAAGGTCTAGTGCCGCATCACGAAGACGTTCAGTCAGCGAAGATATTTAATCTTCTGCACATTAAAATAAAAATTTGAATTACAATTTACTCATGACCTTACTAAGTCCTTGCTACAGTCGTCTAAGCACGACAATTGTCAAATAAACAGCTCTGGGATATACTCCACAACCTAAAGCACAAAAATCAATCGAAAAATCCTTCATTTGCGCTCATTAYAAATTGCTAGACTGGTTTTCAGTTGTCTATAACAGACGAGTGACCTATAGTACTATATATAGTACAAGACTATTGACCAGTGCCGACTACAGATTCAAATGTTTATCTTTTGGCTCACAGCCACGCAACGAACTAAATTGAGTTTTTTAGTGACGAAAACACTACAGCAAATCAATATATATAATCCCATGGAATTTAAAAAAAAATTGCTCCCAGTACGATCTTTTTAAGTGTAGAAATAACATACCCAAAAACCAATCAAAATTGGATAGAGATAGTACCAGTAGCTCCATAGTGCCTTCGATGAAGAAACATCGAAGTCTGTTGACTGTTCAATTTGCACAATCTGAATCACAGCGTATATTATTGTGGCAAACAGATAAAGAACTCCAATACCTATGAGGAGTTTCGCTGTACATCTTATTGCGTTAAGAGTACACATCTTGTTTTGCGTACGGTCATGGCAACGGCGCCATGTTTAGTATATCCCAGACAAACGAACCGTAGACACATGTCAATGATTGCGGACGGTTGTACTTCCTGGATACAAAAATTGAATTAGTGGGGATGGGGTGAGTCGAGGTTTACGGTTTCTAATACATTTATCAAAGTCTTAATTGTTGTGTCTTTGCGAAACGTTCGCGCATTCATTGTATTAAAATATTCATTTGTGGGTTCGTTAACGTTTAAAAAACGTAAGCATGCCTTCCTTTCACACGTAACCGCACTGAAAACGTACATAGCGTACGCAATTCGTTCAAATAGCGATTTAAATTAAGCGGATACTTTTGAAACGTGATTTACGTTTCCTCGTCTGGACGGCATAGACACATACAGTACAATAAACATCTCACGTGGTCCACGTGAACGGAAACGTAAGCGTAAAGTGGGTAAAGGTAAACGCATACGTTTGAATACGGCTTGCAAGAGGTTGCTTTTAAAATGCCGTTTTCCACGTGTAATGAGGGAAGGATCCGATCGACGGTTTAACTTGTAAGAAATCTTTGAACAATCGGGACCTTGTTAGAAGTAACCTTGTTCCCAGGGCACCCTCGTCAATTGAAATTCAAGATGGCGGCCATATGTGGATTCCTTTGCCGATAAATTCGGCCATCTTCATTATTTGTAGGTAAAAATGATATGTAATTCAAATGAAATAGGATGCCTAAAAGCAATAATTACGATAAAGACTGAAATAAAGAACCGCAAAATTATGTATCAGATGATACAACATAAAAAAAACCCAACCAATCCTGTCCAACTGGAATTCAAGATGGCGGTCATCTGGGCCGAGTTGTTCAACTAAGCTCGATTAGTATTAATCCTAGATTAACTCTTAAAAAACCTATGGATGAACGTTAATCGAGCTTTGAACAACTCGGCAATGGAGAAGAGTCGGCATTTTCCCCTAATCACAAATGAAKTGAACCCTAGTTTTCTATTGCTGGGGCAACGGGTAAAACGGCTTGGAAGTATGCATAAATTATCAAAATGTAAACTACACATAAATTATAAGACTACTTTAGTTCAACGTACAAACGCCGTTCACGTTTTTCCACGATTGTTCGCGAACAGCTAATAATATAATATTATAAATATTTTATGGATATAAAATCGCTTTACAAATCTGTTCGACTCTCCGGAGCCCTKCATGCGATTCTTGGCGTTTTCCTCGTGGCAATTGCTGTCGTAGATAGAGTTGAAATAACGGACTACACAAGCAGCTTTCCTGCTAGATATGCTCTTGGTATATGGATTGGAAGTTGGGTAGGTTTATTTTATAGCCATGTATTTATTGTTATTTTCAATGCAGAATTWATTGTATAAACTTTATCATGCCCAATAAAAGGGATTTTCTTCCGGATGATTCCAAATTTAATAGTGATAACTGGTGTTAATGTCATAAGATTAGTTCAAGTAAAATATAATTTGTAACGTTTGGCAAAGTAATTTTCAAACACCCTAGAACTGTAACAGCCAAAGTCTAATAAAGTGGAGTGTGATGTAACGAAAAAATAAAAAAATAAAAACGTAAATAAATAAAGAAAAACAACGTGTTGTACGCTCCAGTGTACTTTTGAATTCAAATTGTAAGATTCCAAACTTGTTCAGTTTCCTCGTTACTGAATATAGACTCGAACATTTATCATATTTCTCTGTTTTTGTTTTGATATTTAATATATAACTCGTATTTTTGATATCAGATACACCAACAATATTCCTAGCAGGAAGATAAAACTGATCAAATATGGAACAAAAAATACGTGGAAAACTAAAAGCAGTTTACGTTTTTATGAAACAATATGTATTCGTTATAACATCATTAAATAGACGACGTTCAGTTTCTAAAATTAAAATTCAGCTTTATTTGTATATGTTTAAGTCTTTGTTTGCCATATTTACTGAGAAGAGATGTATAAATTAATACGATTTAACATTCAAATTTGGAACATTTTATTAAACTAAGGTATTAAAATCTGAATACTGACAAAGAAATTTCGCAAGGTTTTCTGGTAGTTAAAGCTAAGTTATGCCATCATGCAAATGGACTATTCTGCGGACATACAGTCAATCCCATGAACGTTGTTCAGTTGTAAAAATCTAATGACAACAACAAAGTCATTTTCATAGATCGTGATTTTAATTTCTTTACTAGAATATTCAACATAAAGTTTCAAACCTTCTTTACAAGTAAATAGCGTTTAATTCGCTATTTATCTATAACTTATAATAGTCTCCTTCACGGTTCCCTGCGCCATCTTGAAAAGTAGCCGTGCCTTTACATCTAAGCGAGAAACCGTTGAGCGTGAAATGATAGATACCTGTGAATAATTGTCTGTAGGTGTGAAAGAAGGTTTCTATCGTTGCACGCTCAACGGTCGTCTCGCTTCGATGCAAAGGCACGGCTACCTTTCAAGATGGCGCAGGGAACCCTCAAGAAGACTATTACGATTCTTATTGTGAATTGAAAAAAAAAAACGTTTTATGAAAATGACTTTGTTGTTGTCTTTATGTCTGTACAAGTAAACAACTCCAATGCATTGACTGTATGTGAAAATCATATTGTTTGATTATAAAATTATAACTAAATCCCAAAATGTCGATCCACAGAATAATTCATCACTATTTTGCATTATTTATGTTTTACACTTTTAAGCTTTGATTGGATTT